CTAAAATTTGAACCAAAAGCAAATTGTGCTTGAAAACAGGTCCGACTCACACAAAAATAATAATTAAATTAAGCTGCTTTAGGTACCTAGCTTTGCACGTATATATATCTTCCCAGTAAATCACTTTGATGCTCTGAAATCAACATACTTCACTGATAAACCAAAGAAACCGTTTCAGCATTTGCAGTTATTCTACAGGATATGGTTGCTCTCTGCGGTAGCCACGAGACAATATGGCACTGAGTGGGACAAGTTCAGCCAAGTGGAGCATGTCAAGGCGTATGCACGTGATGGGGACAAATAAAGAAAATGGTACGTTTTGTACACGAGAGGAGACAACTGCAAATTGGATTCAAATATTAGCCGCTCTACTGTATTTGAAGGTAAAATTAAACATACGAACTTTGTCTTAATTTGTTTGATCACTCTGTCTCTGCCGGTTTATAAGCTTGTTCCATTTTATCCCCCGCATTTCAACCATATATGTGTGCTGCATGATGACTTAATATATTCTGATTAAGTTTTAGCGACACAGCTGTACATGTGGATACTTCAACTTATGGCTATCATTTCTGATTTAGTTGCACTCCCTCATGTTGCTAAGTATTTCTATTTTTAGTTACTTGTTTTAACAGACCTAGAGCAGTAATCAGGGGTTGAACTGCACCACGGGCAGACTGGGCCTAGCGTAGTGGGCCCTACAGTTTGAGTATATAGATATAGAAGATGAAACAGATAATGGGGCTGAATGCATTTTCATACAGACCCATGTCATCTTGATTTCATCACCATTTGTGGTTGTGTTATCTGGGGTGGGGGTTATAATTCGTCGTTGTTTTTTCTCTATACGGTTCAGCCGTGGTCATGCCCAAATCCTGGGTCTGCCACTGTGAGTGATATATGTTTTCTCTTGCCATGCTAATTAGAGATTGTGTATAACATGTTCTGTGTTTTTCTTTCCATGCAGAAACCTTATCATCTTCTATGGTGGACACACAAGGATTCGAGTGTGTGTACAAAATGAAAAGAAGCACCTTCAGTTACGTCTGCAGCTTGGTGCGGGTGCCATTTTTTGAAAGTATGATGGCAAGGGACCACACCTTTGTTGATGCGAGCGTGTTGTCTTTACAAGATGGAGTAGCCGTCGCTCTGAGGATGCTAAACTCTGGCGAGACATCTGTTACCGTAGGATCCTCTGTTGGTGTCAACGAGTCAACTGTCTCGCTGGTAACTCAGGTGTTTGTTGATTCTCTGAGGAAGCGAGCATTGCACCACTACACATGGCCTGGCCCTGCTAAAATGGAGAAGATCAAGCGCAAGTTTGACAAGATCCACGGCCTACCAAACTGCTGCGGTGTTGCACATACAGCTGACTTCACATTTGGATCACAGAACAGCGACCATGAGGAGAATGATGGCAGCTTGATGCAATCCGTCGTTGATCCAGATATGAGGTTCACAAACATTTGGTTAGGGCCATTAGGTAGCATGAACCAGTCGAGCCTTTTGCATGATTCTAGACTCTTCAAGTCGTGCGAGGAGGGTACTTGGCTGAATGGTAGCAAACTGAATTTATCAGATGGATGTCAAGTTGGAGAATACATAATTGGTGATGGAGGATACCCTCTTCTTCCCTGGCTCCTCACACCTTACCGCCTGGAAGGCATAGAGCTCACTGAAGATTTTACTCCTTATCAAACCGAGTTCAACAAGAGACACTCTGCAGCATCAAACATTACCCTCGCTGCGCTGGCGAGGCTTAAAAACACTTGGAAGATCCTAGATGGAGCAGTGTGGCGCTCGCTCAGTTCATGCTCGCTTTCTCAAATAATCAACGCGTGCTGCGTGTTGCATAATATTGTGATAGACATGGAGGAGGAGGGTGAAGATATGCCGAATGATCAGGAGGAGAATTACATCTATGAAGTGAGGCAGTTGGCAGACGAGGATGCCGTCAGGGTGAGGGATATGCTGTCCCGGCACTTGATCAAAGCTGGAGGTAAATTGGCACAATTCTTAATGTGTGTTCATTCGAATGTCTCTCTATTCAGTTTATTTGTTTCCTCCTATTGATTACATCTTGATTTCATCTCTCTGGTTAGTCCATAAAATGGCTGCAGAGGAGGAACAGGAAGTAGCATCCGGTTCAGGAGATGAAAACAAGGAACAAGAAGCATGCCGACGACAAAAGGCAGGTCAAGGAGAAAGTGCATAATGGTTGATGGCTAGCTGGAAAGATCAGAGCAGATGGTCGTATCCAGTTAATCAATTTGGTAGAGTTCTTTTCCTCTGCTATTAAAAATTGGGCTTCAAGTCAAAGTGTTGTTCCTAGCTGCTCTATGTGGCGCGCAAAAAGTTGCCAAGACAGACAGGCTCTCATGCATTTCCCTTTGCGTGCAGGACCTAGCAGTGGAGCCAAACTGATGCTGCAGCACTCATTTAAAGTTGGATCGGAAAATCCGTTTCTTAGAGTTATTTATTTCCAGATCTTTGGCACGGACAAGTTTTGTGGATTTTGTATTTCTGGCATGCAACAAGCTTTTATGAGCTTGAGTGAACTACTTACTAGTGGTAACAGTAGTGTGTAGCTGCATGGAGACTACAGACTATTTGTGATTTGTATTATCTGGGTTTGGTTGTTGTAACCTGAAGCAAGAATTTCCGAACATGCATGCATAATGGCAGTGCAAGTTCGACTGATTTGGCATTCACCTGTAAGGAAGGAAGGAAGTAAGGAAAAATCAGAGCTCAGTTTTTTGCCCTTTTTTGCCCTTGTACGTGTGCAAATCAGTTGTTGTTGCATATGTTTGTGGCGAGGGCTTGAGAAACAGTATTGTATGTATATGTAGTTTTCTGAATTTGCGACTGCTCTTGGCCTTGTCAAGTGCGCTTTCTGTTTTTTCAGATCTGCGGCTAGCTATGCCAAGCGCGTTTTCTGAATTTTCGCAAGTGCAACGGCCAAGTTCAGTTTTAGTTGAGTGTGGTACTAGTGCAGGCTTTGGAAGATCAGTTATAGTTCAGTGTAGTACTAGTGTATGACTAACAAATTAATTGTTCCGCAGTAGATAGATGCACAGTTAGTTCAGCAACGTCAAGTTTACGGCCGCAAAATAGCAGTGAGCAAGTCCTGGATGATATGTTTTTGGTCATGATTCGATTGGCTGTAGCATATCTAGTGTTAAGCGCGTCGTGGATATGTCATTGTAGTATATGTTTGCTGTCGCAATTTACAGAAGAAGAGGGATGAGAGTGATAGGAGTTGTTTGTGGAAGTTCAAGTTTCAAATGGGCTGGCAGACCAATTTACGGAGGTTTCAGAGGAGGATGGAGATGGCTGCCTTACTACAGTGGAAGGGGTCTGCAACCTGAAGAGTGTATTATGGAGACTGTTTGTGGTTTCTAAGTTCTTCATTCTCTGCGGCATACATAATGACCATCGGCATGGTAGTAAATTGGGGTTGTTTGTGCTTTACATTTGAATTTGCTCAAGTGATGAGGTTGCTCTGTTCAAGGGTGGAGTATGGCTTGTAATTTCCATCTTCCGCCAGTTTAATCGACTCAACTGTATTTGCTATCCCTTTGTGC